GAATGGTTATAATAGTAATAATAGACCGAAAATCGTTTATGGTAATATATTTACTGCATTAGTAGATGGTGATGTTACTACTTTTTTAGTTATTTACCTTTTTCCAATTTACTTGTTTAACATTAATGATTGAGCACTCATTTAATTCTGATGTATTGGCTATCCACATTCCTGGTATCCACAAAGCACAAACTAAATGAACCCATGCATTTGTTTTGAAACTTTCCTCTTCCCTCAATCTACGAAATGCTCCAGTTTTTTTTGGGCATAAAATGCAAGACTATATATAGATATTTATTAAAAATAAAATAAATCAAATTTTAATTTAAGAAAAATTTTCTTTATGATAATCATGATGATTAACTTACCACCACTTCGGCTGGTTTTGCAAGACATTTGTCACAATACCAAGGATCTTCTTCAGCAGGTAATTTTGTTATGCCGTAACATTCTAAAATAAAGTTATATATATGATATATAATCATACAAAGACCATCACTAACACCATTAGTAATAATAATTAATACCTTGGTGACAAATAACCTCGCATTCCCGTCCATCACAATACACTAATATATTTTCCACATTAGTTGCACCCTCTAGGCATACACAACATACATCCGGAGCTTCAAGGTTCTAAGTAAAATTTTTTTAAAAAAAAAAACATTCGAAAATTAACATATAATGTAAAAATGTATAGTTAATACAAGAATTGCATGCATACCCATTGTTCTAAAAATGCCTTTACGGGATCTTCTTCTTCTTCTTGTTTTTCTTTTGGTTCTAGTCTACTACTGAATCCTTCAACGTCAACAAATCTTTGTTCTTCCTTTTCAGAGCCTAAAGCTTGTTTAATAATATCATTACCGACAGTAATAATGCCTGTTTCACTTTTGTTATAAATTGTTGTTGGTTCTATTGATGCTTCAATGTTGTTGTTGTTGTAGTTATTATTATAGAAGGCACCATTACCAATTGTTTTGATGAGTTCTTCCATTTGTTAACATCAATATCAATCAATTTCCATGGAAGTCGTTGAAGGGTAACAAACGCGATTTTACATTGATGCAATCAGGCAATCAGGGGGGCTTTATATCATATTTGGGGCATGCTGTAACAATACCTATGATATCATCAACTGAACAATTAATACCGCAGTAGAACAATGAAACGATACAGAAATTTAGAGACTATTCCCTTCTCTCCTTTACTATTATTGACCAAAACATTTGATTTTATAGAAAGAAAATAATCCATTTCTGGTAAATAAATACAATCTAGTACAAATTTAAAGATGCAGTCAGTCTTTATCCCTTCTGATGGTGATTCTAGCCAGGTGCTTTTTTTATTACTAGAAAATTCATATAGTATGTTCCGGCTTGGATTATCTAGTGTTTGCCTTTTTCCCATTGTCACAATGGAATAACAACAAAATAAACATATTAAAAAGATTTCATAAATTGTAGTAGTAAAGCCTCCTTTGGGTTCATTAGAAAGGGCTAGCGGGAAGCTCTAAGTGATATTTTATGTTTAGATGACTTGATTTTATGTGTCAATGGATACTTTGGAATTGAATTATATCATTCTACGAAGGATTTTGGCCAGATAATAGATCGGAAGCTATGGTTATAAATTAATGGCCAATTGAAGCTTGATTATCACCTGAATATCAGTCGTTTATTAAATTGTCATAAAGTCTCTAAAAGACGAATATCCAGATCTAAAAGTACATGAGTCAACCTTAAATCAATTGTTAATATAAGATAACCCTTTTTCCCATATAATAGTATTTTAGATATAATTCATACTAATGATGCCTGCTGCCTGTAAATAGTTTGGCTATTTTGTAAAGATTGCAACTTTTTAATATGTAATTGTCAAAAAACCTGTAATATGTAATCTGTAGTATTTGGTATTGCAAATCATAAATTTTATTATCATTTACATTTTTAAATTAGTTATCTCAAATATCAAATATCAAGTATTAATAAAAAAAGGTTAATTTTATGTAATAGTGCAAGTCGCCGAACTCTTGTAGATCCTTTAGTACGTCCAAAAATGGAAATATAACACCAATAAAACAAATTGTAACCTTGAAGCTAAGACCTTTCTCTACAAAGTTACGATTTCATTTGTTGATACGGTGGAGATCATCTATAATCAAATCAATATTTTCAAAAGCGATTTTATGTCTTACAATTTTGTATATTTCATTATGCGCATCCAATTTCAAGATCTCGTTTTTTTAAACTTGAGCATTATTAAACTAAATATTAATTGATTATATGATCAATGTAATTAAACCAATTTAATAAACCAAATAATGAATAAATAAATTTATTTTTCTTTGTATAGAAAGTTTTACTAAGTATTATGCTATACCAATTCCTAATAAACTACAAATTTCACTTGAGATAGCTTTTATTTTGTCCATAAATAATATTTTTATATATTTAAAATAGTGAATTGATAAATTTTTTATATAATATTAATGCATAATATTTTTTTAAATCAAGTTGTAGGAATAAAAAATACCTGTTAAATTAAGTATAAGTTTAGCTTCCAAACGTACTTAATATATAACTTTGGTGTATTATTGACAAAAGACTTGAGATTACTGTTGTTTTTGTTGATTCACTACTTCTTCCACATTTATCAGTCACAATTTTCGTCGCTCATCTAAGCCAAGAATCTATTCGGACCCGTTCGATCCAAATCTCTAAAAGCATAGAATAAAGGATAAAAATACTAAATATAGTTTTGTTATTATATATCATATTTGCAGTATAATTCAATATGTCACAAATCAATGATATACACGTGACATAAACCACGACAAAAAACTGTTGTTATGTTGCACAGCTTCCTGTAATTTCAATGTGACTTTGGTGAAATATTCACTCATGTCAGAATACGCAAACCAGGAATATTTCGATCGAGCTTACTCAGAATGGAGCATTATAGGGACAATACCTCACGTCTCTTGAAAACATCATAAATACTGAGGCGTGACAGAGCACAACAGCTGTTCAATCAGTATAAGAAGGTATGTAATTTTTTTTGTTAAAATGTAAATTAGGAATCTGTGGCGTGGCAAGGACTTCTAAGCTCCTCTGCCATTCAAGTCTCTAAACTGAACCACGAAGTAGTACTGGTGCACAGATAACCTCTAAGCTTATCTATGTTCAAGCCTCTAAGCCGAACTGTGCTGCACCCACCTTGAGCGCAGACAACCTCTAAGCTTATCTGACATTCTGTAGGATAAGGAAATTGGATGAAAAATTGAGATGCGTTAATATTACTCATTTTTGAATCTTTATTGCTAGGATACTCAACACGATCGTACGTTAGCAAAGAAGTGGAACTCCGAACGTTCACGTAATCAACTTCATATTCATCAGCCAACATTCACAAGCGGTAGAACTAATAATGTGAATATAAGTGAGGATTATAAAAAGTGGAACATTCAACGCAAAATCAAGTAGTACATCACGAAATAAAGTGGTAAGAAGTTATTGTTAATCCCAACTTTGTTAATTGTCTTCTGAGAATTCTAATATGGTAATTCTGTGATCATAACCCATGCTTGATGTATTTTTTAATACCTTAGAACAATTACAAATGGAAAAAAATAAATGAATTTTTCTCCCATGATATCACACCATCACAACTTCGTGAAAATGACAATACAGATCATGAAAATGATGTACCAACAAGTCCTTCACAAGATGCACCCGAATGTTTTGATAAACTTGTAGATAATGTGGATTTATCTCACATTGGAGGAAAAGAAGAACCTTGCCATCACACCCAAAGCCTGGAGTTTCACTAGGAAAAACTTGGGACACTTTTACGATTGATGAATTGACATTGCAAAATGTTTTGGTTCCTTCGTAAATCCTTACCAAAAACAAGTCCCGAGATCCAGTAAGTATTCCTTGTATAATGAATTTGCAGATAAGTTTCGTGATAAATTCACTAATATCATCTTTCTTCTTGAAGTCCACCATACTGGGGGTATTTGACTTGACAGGACAATATAAATTTTCCACGAAATGGAATGAACTGTTTAATGCTTTTCGACTTGATGTAGGATGGAAAATGGTCAATCTTGACCAATACGAATATGATCTTTTTGATAACATGGAGGTAATTACAGTGTCACATGCTTTTAGTTGTTGCTTTTGTTCTATTAATTCTTTTTTATTAAATAGGACTTGAAAGCCCAGCAATCATTACCTGTACCAAGTGCCCATCTTACGATATTAGATCTGTATCTTGAACACCTCAAACTACCAATTAACAAGGGAGAATTAGTTTTTGTTTTGTTGCCCCTGAGCCTAGATCCAAATTAAGAAAATTTTCAAAAACACTGGTAATTTTTATGGGTTCTACCAGATCGGGAAAACTCTATTGTATGTGACCACCAAATTAAATGACAAATTATATTAATGCGAATCTTAGTTTTTATAATTATGCGAATCGATTTTCCGAACACACTTTAAAAATTATTAATAATGCGAATCAAAATAGCTAATACATATGAAATTGATTAAAAATATTTAAAAGAAAGTTTTGTGTACTTGACTGACTAAAATGGTTATAAATTAAAAATGTTTCATAATCTAGTACAATCAAACAAGGATTAATATCAATAATATTATAATAAGAACGAACGTATTCCCAAAAAAATAAACTACTACTTGTGGTGTAATATGGATTTTAATGTCTTCTTCAAATTCTTGAAAGTTAGGGTATGTAGTAAAACGTTTTTGGCGTGAATCATATGAATCATAAGGAATTTTTTTATAATTTTTATTATGATTTTTCATTTTAATTTTATTAATAATGCACTAATAACATTACTAATATTAATTTTATTAGTATTATTATTTTATTATTGTTAATAATGCGAATTATAGTGTAAGCGATAACATTTTTTATTAATAATGCGAATCAAATGTAACCAATGACATTTTTTCTTCAAATTTATATGAAAGCAGTGACCTTTTCCATTTTCTATCAATGCGAATCTATGGTGAGGCAGTCACTTTTTTTTTTTAAAGTACTTTCGAATCATAGTGTTGATGGTCACATTCAATAGAGTTTTCCCAGTCCTGTTCTATGTTATTTCTATCTTGCGTATCAGACTAGATTTATTAATTCCATTTATTTTATATTTTGGAAGCTAGTTGCAAGCCAGGAAAGGTGTAGGCAAGAGCAAGATTCTAATGATGAGTGTGCTCGTGTTGGAGAAAAAACTGATATTATAATAGCTTTACCAACAGGACCAGCTTTAGAAGGTTTCATTTGTGAAGTCTCGGGAGGACTTCCAGCAGGAGACCCCAAAAAAATTTGGACAGATAAACTGAAATTAATGGATGGGATGCGAGATATGATAAACAGAGTAATGAAGATCTTTCCTGGTCTACCACCAACAGATTACATGAAAGTCATTGTATTCGGATGCCAAGTAATTGGTAAATATATTTTAAGATGCATACAAATTTCTGATAGAAGACTGCTAACATTGTTTTGTTGCAGGCTTACAAGTAAATCTTTATGCAATGGATGTCCGAACTTCATTAATTTATTGTTTCGGAATGATTGATAAGGTTTCTTTACCTGCCTCAACAAATGAGTTGCCTGCTTACGAAGCAGTGCATACAATGTTATGTTCTTTGGAGGTTTGTTATTCATTTATTCACTCACTCCCTTACTAATATATGCATTTCATCATACTTACCAGACTTAATTTCTTATAGCACCAATTGGACAAATTGATGAATTATTGCATGAATCTTAAGATTAACATGCAAAGTTGAGGCGAAATTATTACAAAGCAGGTGTGACTATGACTAAGTGTGACAATGGCGGAAAGCAGGACTAAAAAACCAATATATGATAGAAAATTCAAAGGTCTCAAAATCAATAGTTCAAATCAGAAAGAAAATTCATCAAGTGTATGATCAGGAATTAAAAATGGGAACCGCAATTAGTTGCAATTCAATTTTTATATGCCGCAATTAGTTGCAATTAATTGAGGAGCCATCTTTATCAGGAACAAGAAGTGGGTGATGATGAAAATAATGAAATAATTCAAGCATTGAATGCTGTCAATTACTCTGAGGATAGTTATCCTCCTGATAAAGAAGAAAAACCATGGAGTTATCAAAATCAACCTTCTCCTACACCTTTTAATTACAATGAAATTAAAAAAAATATACAGTGTCACCTAAGCCTTTTCACCAAAAAGCAAGACACGTCATCCTAAAGTCTATAGATGCTACCCAAATTAAAAATCAGAAATCCCAAATCCCGTTTCATGTGCCTGCTTCCTTGTCCAATGAGAATCGAGCATAACAAAGGGGTTGTTGATCACTTTAGAAATACTAGGTGCTTATTGGTTGAACAGGAAAGCTGATCTACATTTGGGATTTGGGAATTCTTTGATGGGCTGTCCCAAATTCAATTTGTACATTTGGGATAATGGTGGCATGTATACTGATTATTATTATTGATGATAGAAATATCTGTCAATTTTTTTGGTGATTATGGCGGAAACATGCTCTTAAATATATGCAATAATCTTCCTGCAGATATGTATAATTATATTATTTGTAAGCAATGATAAGTATTAGTGAAATGGGCAGGAAAAAAAAACAGACGTGATGTTAAAGAAACATTTTAAGAAAAACAAAATTTGTATATATATATCACATTAAGAAATTGGTGATAGTTTTTTAAGTTTCAAAATCCTTAAATAATAAGGGATTAGAGAAAAGTTGAATTATCATTAATTATTGGTAGAGTAATATACAAGCTGTAAAATGTCTTTTATTGATTCAATTAAATTGAAATATTGAATTTTAAAAAACATCTTGTATTTATAGTATTTTAATCAATAAGCATCAATGACAAAAAATGGAATTATTCTAGTATGTTTGTTTATTTTTCATTATCAATAAAAATAGAATTATATCTAAAACCATCAATGATTTATTTATTGTTAATAAAAAATGGAATTATTCTATATAGTATAATAAATAAAAGTATGTTTGTTTTATTTTTGGTTATTAATAAAAATAGAATTATGCCTGAAACCATCAATGATTTGGATATTTAAATACCTGAACATTGCACTCAAATCTTGCATATGATAATTATATATTCCCCTTCCTATACATATTTGATAGTGTCATATGATATCATCATTACTACATTCAAATTTTTTTTCTTGGCAAAAGTAATTGGCGTTCCAAAAGGAATTAAAAATTTGACTAAAAATATAGTCATCATTATGTTGTGGGTGTAGTTATGGACTGTATTGTTATCATTATGATGGTTCAATGTGTCAAAGACTTCTGGACACACAATCATATGGATGATCTAGCATGCTCTGTTGTATAACAATCTGATTGTTTGCATAAACTATAAAAAAATTTTCTAATTCTACAATTATTTTATTCAAACATAGTTATGTCCAATACTCAATTTTCATTAGTCAAAGAAGTTCAGAAATGGACTATTTCTTTGTGATGAAGACATCGATATAATTAAAAAAGAAAGGGTCTCTGGTTCTGCATTCATAGAGCTAAGTCAAGAAGTTCTTATGGGTGGGTTATTAATGGGACCAGCAATAACCATAGCTAAATTGATCAGAGATGTTAAGAACAAAGAACAAAATAAGTACCATATCTCCTTTGAAGAGTAATTGCTTTACAGAGATAATATTGTCCAGGATGATCTGCTGGTACAGGTATTATATTTTCTGATAGATAATCTGCTGGTACAGGTATTATATTTTCTGATAGATAATCACTGAGTACTGGTGAATTGATAAAAGGGTAGATTGCTTGAAGGTAATTATCCAAAGATTTTAATTTCTGAGGAATAAAATCAAATAATTTTAATAACTTTAATTTCTTGTGTTCTGGATGGGTGATTTGGAAATCAGGATCATAACTATGAGCTGTTAAAAAATTAATTGTTTCTTCTTCTGTAAATTTTGAAGAATCAGCTATACAGAACCATGATGACTTTTGGTAAATATAACTGATTCTCAACTTTGACATATATTCAAATTGCAATGCCCAGGAAACTAAATCAACATCAACATTCATGTGATTATGCACCTGCTCATCTAATGGTAATATATATGGCAAAGGTAATACATTTGAAGTATAGATCATGGTAGTTGCCATATGAGCAACATTTGATAGATTTTCATCAATTGGAATTCGGGATTGATGGATGTCATGATAATCATCAATAAGGAATATAATTAATAAATTAATTTTTGTATTAAAATATTTAAAACCCCCATCTTCATGATTTAAAAGAATTTCATTTTTTCTTGAAACTGTTTTATAGGTGAATGCAATGCCCAAGTTTGCTAAAGTATTAATACCTGATGTAGATGTACCAGTATTTGACATATATAGAGCTATTTGATTTTTGACTGAACTGATATGCTTGTTTCTAAGGCTAGCTATTTGGTAACAGAGAACCATTACTTTTCTTTTTAGGCTTATTTCTGTAGAGGAATTTTTTGTTAATGAAGGATCTCTTTCTTCAATCATTTTTACAAATTCATCGGATCATTAATCATTACATTTTTTTCATGATGTTGATACTTGTATAAAACAGAAGAAAGTCTTTTTATTTGGTTGTTAAAAAAATCAGAAAATTGCATGCCATCTAAAAATTAATTTATTTAATTAAATAAGTAATATTAAAATATTTAAAAAACAAAAATAGGCATAATAAAATTAATTTTAAAAAAACAAAATAATAATAATAAAATTAATTTTAAAAAAACAAAATAATAATAATAAAATTAATTTATTTAATTAATATTTTAATAATTTATTTAATTAATATTAAATTAATATACCTTTAATATGTTGATTTGATGGTCTAGTAATCTTTTCTAATTCTGCTTTTAATTCTATAATTTGATTTTGTAAACTAGTATTTGCTT